TCATCAGTTGATGAACAAAAAACAATAACATTTGATAAATAGTGTTAATAATATATTTATATTTATATAAACAATTATAACTTGCAGGCAAATCTAGACTAGAATAAGAGACAATATTATTGGCAATATTGTTTTATTAATATGTGTATGTTACATAAATATTATTGACAATATTGTTTTTTTATTTTTTTATTTTATTTTATTTATTATATTTGTGTTACAAAATCAGTTAGCTAACTAGCATACCCGATTCTAGTATATACAAACAAAAATAGAACAATCACAAAACAGGGCTAATTGTGGCGATAACAGCAAACGCGAAGCTCGACTTTATTTTTAGTTTTTTCTTTGCATAGTCGTAATTTTCTTTAACTTTAATTGGAATTTAACATGTGCTTGAGTATTTGTGCCTTACAACATTCTATCAATGTTACTGAAGAGATACGTAGATTTATTGCATATGTGCTATTTATTTGTTTATTTTACCGAGTGCATTTCGAACACCTCTCGGCTTAGTTCTGGCATTTTTCATTTCGTACACGCAAAATATTTCATTTATATTAACTGCCAAATTTCACAGACAATTTTGCATAGGCTAATTCAATTGAACTTTTAACTGACCGTAAAGACATTTTTGCTTTTAATACCCTGTAATAACACGAGAAGATCAATTTCGAGGTCAGAAAGATAGGAAACATTGTCTCAATTTGCCTTAAGTTTATTTTATAAATATTTTGAATACAATTTTATATTATGAACGATTTTTAAATATTTAAAAAATATTTAATATCTGGTTGCTTAAAAAATTTAATATTTGATCAATTATATTTTATTTTTAATTTTTAATTATTATTAATTTTTTAATTTATTATTCTTAATTAATTACTCTGTTTTTAATCGGTATTTCTACGTATTGCATGCCTCTTCTGCGCGGCTTTATTAAAATTTGCATTTAATTATTTTGTTCGAAATTTATAGTCAAAAATTCCACTTTGATTATTTGCGCAATTTGCGGCAGCAACATTGATAATGCGAATAATGCGGCATGCGTTGCATAGTTGCGTGAACTTTTTGCATGCAAATTGTGGTATGGATGCAATTTATGCAATTGTTTAAGGCGTGGCTATGGCGATAATCAAAATCACAATAGCAGTCACATTCACAATCACAATGGCATAATACTCGTAATCACATTCAATGCACTTATATTTGACATCTTTGCAAATTATATGAACTTTATGCTAAAGAGTTGAATAAAATATTTGTCCTATTAATCCTCAGCTGCAACAATCTATGATGATGTGCTTGATATACCCTGTACTTATGTGTATGATAGGTTTAAAGTTTGGAGTATAAGACAAAGTCTGGCATTATTATGGTAAATCATATAAGACGAATAGTATTGAAATTGTGTATAAGTGCAATTGCAGAACTTATATTTATCTCTTATACAATGCTTACAGAGTATAAGCTAAGCGTTCCCTCGCGTTCTACAGCATTCCAATTCATTTTGTTCACATTTGTATAAGCTGTGCTCAAATCAATTAGCATTCCACACAGCTTAGTTACACACGATTTGAGTTATCAGCTTGTCGCTCGATTAATTATAGTATTTAAAACGGAATATCGTATACACGTGGCATAAACACTTAGCATTTACAATCAACAAATAGTATCTCTCTTTGCGATTCTCATGAATGCAAGTGGGACTTACAGCTAGTCTATTTATTTACTTAGCTCAACTAAGGCCTAGCGCGCTGTGGCCTCCTAACCCAGTTTGTGTGTCTAGTCTTAAGTGCGTAGATAAAACATTCTGTGTGAAATTCGCATGATTTATGAGTGGGCTGCATTCTATGGCGATGGATGCTTATCTGAAGTGTCGTTTATTATCTCTGACAACTTAAATGCCGCACTGCCATTTGGCGTATGTCAAATGGAGCAGAGCATTATAAATATGTGTGTTAAGTATCACTCGAAATATATGTATATAATATTTATTGCGCATATCTCTCGGCATTGATTGCATTCTGTTGTTTGCTATTATTTGACTTTTACAATTGTGTAAATCTGTGCAAGGAACTGTTCAAATGTGAGAATTAAATATTTAAACCAATGCGGAAAAATGCTGTAAATATCGGCACAATTCGGTTACAGCTGGTTCCAATTAAAGCAATTAGCTAACATATAACAAATTGTTTTTCCTTTACAATTGTAAATCTAACAAATAAAGTTATTTGCTCGAATTTGAATTATTTCCTTATTTAGCATAGCATAGCAGTCCGCTAATAAGTTTTTATGTCCACACTAACATGAGGAACTTGACGGCAACCTTTATAGCTAGCATGTCAATAAATATAAGGTTTTGTGTACTCACTAAGCATAATATTTATTTAATGTAGATCACAATCAGGTTTGTGTCCTAATTGTAGTTATCAATCAGGCTATTGCCTGGAGAATATAAGGTTCTGTGTCTTCTAATAATTAATTAACATTGAGCATTGAGGTTTGCCTTGAGCTGAGCATATTCCGAACATAACAGTATTTAATTTCAACGAAAATTATCACTTAGGAGTTTATGTCAAAATATCACTTATACATAAAAAGGAGATCGACTGTGGTGGTTTGAGTCTTACGCATACCAACATTTTAATCAACTTATACAGTATACAAAGAGAATCGATTCAGCCTTAGAAGAGTTTGCGTCTTCGCTAAATATGTATATGTATATTTAAAGGAGATCAACTGCGGGTTGAGTCCTGACTGCTATAAATATATAAACTCTTCTAATTGCACCTATATAAAGGTGTGTGTCTCTGCTAAATGCAGGCGAACTCCAATAAGACTCGCCAATAAGAATCTCATATTGTATGCATTCAAGGGGTTGATAACCACAATATTAAAATAAAATCAACCCCGGTAGCGACTGTTGTGCAAGTCATCACTGAAACAAAAAAGGGGGCCAATATATATATTTTGTACATTCTTTGAGTACCTTTTGTTATTCTTATTTTATTTGCTGCTGCTATTGTTGCCTGCTGTTGTTGTTGTTGACAATCAACAGGTGCAAACTGGTTACTGGTTGCGCATGCGTGAAATAATATGACTATAAGGAAAAAACTAGCGCAGAGTCACACTCACTGAGTCATGGGATTCACACGGCTCACATGATAGCGACTACAGTGGAGT